ATTCAATTTTTTAAAGACTCCTTTTCTTGGGGGCTCTTGGAGTGCCGCTCCCCATCCCTCCATCCATTGGGTCCAGCACATTTGTACGTGGGTTGGCATCATCCTTTTCATACCATCCTTCTGCTTGAGCCCTTGGTATCAGCCCCTCAACTTGATTCGACGTTGAAGTTGTGTCAGCTTCCTCTCAAATCTGTTTTAAGGATGTCTGTTCCGCACAGCGAGGCACCCCGCCCTGAATGGCACACAACAACAACAGTGTAAGAAACGATGTTTTCTGTTAACACGTTAAACAGGTTGTTGTGAGATGCCGTCCAGTCGGTTCCGACTGTCAGCGCCCCTGTGCACGACAGCGACACACCGCCGGGTCCTGCACCATCCTCACCACCGTTCTCAGGTGGGGGCCCATCGTGGCAGCCACGATGCCAATCCATCTTGTTGAGGGGCTTCCTCCTTTTGTGCTGCCTTTTGGAAAAGTAAGAACAACAAATGAGTCATCTCATCTGAAGATGGTTCTTGCTAGCGTGTGCCCCGCTGTGGGCGAGGCTGCACCTGTTTCAACACATCTGGACGCATCTCGTGTGCTTGTATTGAGTTCGGCTTTTTCTTACCCAGGAGAGCATCACCCCGCTGCCGTGCTGACTTAGAAAGACTTCGCGAACGTCGTTTTGAATGACCTCCAGGAGAGAGCTTTCTAACCAACACCCTTCTGGGGTCCCTACAGCTCTGCCCACTCCACACTCACACGGTCACGTATTCTTAGACATTCTCCTCCTCCAAGCCCGGGGGCGGCATTGGGTCGAGCCCTCTGTTGATTTTGACAAGGTTGTTTCTGCGAGGAATGGATGAAAGAGGTCTGTCATGTCTGTAACAGCACACTCACAGGCAGACTGAGCTTGTCAACAGCTACCCAGTGAATGGAAATAGACTTGTTTAAGAAGCCAGCTCTCTGGATCTTGCCTGGGAGGAAACCCGAGCTCGGCTTAGCCAGTGTCTGATGTGGACGCCGTGCCTGCAGCCAGGGAAGTATTTGCTGACCCCATTACATTCTTGTTTTGAGCCTGGGTGACAACGGTAATCATTATCTCCGAGATGCATGTGCCCCTTTTCAGCTCTCAGAATGAGTGCCATCAGGTCCTCGAGGACCCTGAGCGGGGCGCACACAGGACACACAGGGCGGCCAGGAAGTGGGGGAAAGTCAGGCTCACTACGGTGCTCTGGCTCCTTCCGACTCTACTTTCCCACCCTCTGCCCAGACTCTAACTTTAGAGCGCTCTGCTCTGACCCCCTGCCGCTAGCACCCTCTTCCACGGGGCAAGGGCTCATGTCTGCCCATCCCTAGACCACACGCTGGGTGGGTCCCTGAAAGTCCCAGACCACAGGACCTACCCTAGCCTGGCTGGGTTCTGACAATGCCAGGCACCAGGTCATGAACAGCCCAAGGGGCGGGCACAGCTCTGACCTGTGGGCTACAGAATTGAAACCAGGGTTGGGGGTGAGCTGAGGGCAAGGAGCCCGGATATTCTTTGGGTCCTCGTGAAGGTGCATTTGGCAGAGGAGGGGGATAGAAGTCTTTTGTTCAGTGGTTTATTACTTTTAAGTAGTTAGAGACCTGGCATGTAGACCCCCTCTTCTACTCACCGCCATCGAGTAGAGGTCACCCCACAGCGACCTGACAGGACAGGAGGGAACTGCCCTGGGGGTTCCCGACACTGTGACTCTTCTTCCCGGGAGCAGGCAGCCTCATCGTTCCCCAACCTTGTGGCGAGCAGCCCACTCATCACCCCCGCCCCCTCACTCTGGCCCCGGGACCACAAGGACAAAGAATGGCTGTCTCTCCTCATCACACTGTGCTGTTTGCAGCGCCCTTATCTGACCCAGGCTACCGACGCACCAAGGGGGTGCCAAGGGAAGCCGTCTAGAACCACAGAAGAAAACAATTGTGTGCAAATTCCCAGTGTAGCAGACTCCCCCGTGCTCCTACGTAAAAGGGGGGTGGGGCGCGGGGGAATGCATTTCAAGTCAAAATAGAGTACCAGCACCTGCTGTTTGCATGCATCCGCTGGCTGCAGCCTGCAAAATCAGAAATAAAAGCCAAGCTCGCAAGGCTACAATCTGCACTGCTTTCCCTCCTTCCAGTCCTCTCCCGCCCCTCCACCACTGTTCCTGCACGTGCACCGCACACCTGCCGCCCTCTGTTGGCTGCCTGGAGACCCGCAGGAAGTCAGTAATAATTGTTACTGTGGCATTTCCCACGAAGGTCCCCACTGTTCCAGCCAGGGTGATGGGGTGGTGGTGGTGGTGGTGGTGTGAAAATCAAGCTCACAAGATTTTTCATTTTAATGGTTGTTTGGCCACGGGACTGATTTTCTTTCCAGCCCCCCTCTTCCGCAGCAATATTTCCGATTGGGGATCGAGGCGTTAGCTGAATAGAGAAGCGTGAGAATCAATTGAGACCAGGACCTTGTGCTCAGTCCTCTCTCCCCGCAGAAGACACAAGTTAACAGCTAGATGTTGAGTAATTAAACACGCACATCCAGGCAACGGGTTATCTAGTCTGCTCGGGAGGTGACGGTGGGCCTTGACCACCAGCCAACAAGGAAGGCATCCTCATTGCGTGAGAGCTGGCGTCTGACTCTCAGGTGAAGCCACCTGGGTGAGGTTGTCCACTTGGGAGGTGGCATTGCTGGGACTCCACCCCACAGCTCGGATTCCTAATTGCTGTAAGCACGCAAATAGAAGGAATGTTTTTGTCCAAATGTATGCCTCGGAAAAGGGGATCCCTCACAACCTCTCCCGCCTATGTGGCCCTCTCAATCATTGTAACGAGAGCGCGCGCGCGTGTGTGTGTGTGTGTGTGTGTGTGTGTGTGTGTGTGTGTCACCCTCTGACAGATACCAGCTTTGGAAGCTCACGGGAGCCACCTGACCCAGTGGTTTGGTTTGGTTTTTGCAGGGGGGAGCGTTTGTGTTCCCACATCGCTGCACCCTCTCCAGCATTGTTTGTTGTTTTCTGGGGACGGGGTTTGGAATTGGCTGTCATTGGGGGCACCGTCAGGTGGATTTGCACCTCCCGGATGGCTAGTGGTTGTCGGCATTTTTTCACGTGTTTGCTAAGCCATTTGAATGTCTTTTTTTGGTGAACTCCCTGTTCGCGTCCTTCATTCCCGTTCTGAGTGGATGATGGTGTTTGTGTTTTCTTAGTGTGACGTCTTGCAGGGGGCAGCAGATTTTAGAGACGTGTCCTTTCTCCACCTGGTGCCGTTCCTAAAGATCCCCCACCCCCCACCCCGTCCCTGTCTGCGGGCTCTCACTTTACTGAGAGGGGGAAGCTTTTAATACAGATTTAGTAATTCATCCTGGGAGTGTACCTTGCAATTACAAAGGAGGCTTTTAAAAGATTCTTCTTCTTCTTCTTCTTTTTTTAAGTAGCTCTGGCGTGGGAATTGTAACTAGAGTAACATTTTCATTGATAGATCTCACATGGATGGAGACCTTGCTGAACTCACTCACATTCACAGGAGAGGGTGTGCTGAGGGTGGGGTGGGGATAATGGCAAAGAGCTTATGTGGAAGCTGCGGACAGCAGGTTCGAATAGGACTGTTTCATGAAAGGTGAGAGAATAAAAGATTTTATCCAAATTAACGCTTTTGTACATTATGATCAACTAGGTAAGTCACTCCAAAACTAAACCCACTGACATTGAGTCAGTTCCGACTCATAGCGACCCTACAGGACAAAGTAGAACTGCCCCTGAGATTGTAAATCAGGGGTGCTCACACTTTTTCAGCATGCGAGCTACTTATAAAACGATCAGGTCAAAATGAGCTACCAACTACAAAAATGCAAAACATATATTTACTTGTATTTATTTATTACATTTATTCATAAATGCATTGAGAATTGTTTATATGTACAATGTATGTTTCCGGACAGTAGCTGCTGACAGCCAGCCTCAAGCACACTTCCAAATGATCATCAGTCATGGTAGAGCGGTGCATGGACGTCATGATCTTTATGCGGGGAAAAGGCTGACTCACATAAATGAGTAGAGCCAAATAATGCAGTCAAGGAGATAGCACATGTTCTCACGTTTGGGCCCTTTCTCTCTGTGAGTAAGTTCCAGAACTGCTCATGCGCTCTGGACTTCAGCTGAATGTCGGCTTGTAGTGTCAAAATCTCCCACTCCGTATGAAAGTGATATGTTTTTGTCTTCTTACTTGGTCCAGCTCCCCCACTCATTTTAATATACCCTTTCTTACGTTTAGAGGGGGAAACAAAGGTCTAAAAATTGGGGGTAACTTAGCTTGTCAGTTTTGCTGCACTTAATGCAGTGTTTGCGTATGCGTTTTTTGACACCTAAGATTGCATCTGATTGGCAGCGCTGTATATCGATTAAGTGACGGGATTGATGGTAGGCTTACGTGTATGTTTTTAATGCCATGCAATCTACCCACACTGCATTTGCGATTGACTCGTAGATCGGGGTCAACGTATCGAGCACCCCTGCTGTAAATCTTTCCCGGAGCAGAAATCCTCGTCTTTCTCTCGTGGAGCAGCTGGTGGTTTCAAACTGCCGACCCAATGGTCACAGAGTTCCCCAAATAAGAGATAAGACGTAATTAGTAAATACTATAAATAGACTTTGATTTTTGTCATCCCTACGGGTTTATACATCCTAATTGACCAGAAATAATTTGGCCTCAGAGGCATTGTTGTAGGGAAAAATCAGGGTTGACCTGAAGTTTGGACAAAACCCCAATTAAGCAGCAACCCAAAATGCTGAGCCGGAAACCCCAAGACGGGGAGGAAGCAGGTTCAAGTACCACCTCATGATGGTGAAGAGCTCGCTTCTCCGGGCAGGTCCACAGAGGCCAGCAGTTGTCCTCACCGCCTCTCAGGAGGTCCGGTCTGTGGCCATCCTGAATGTCCACCCGGGACACCCAAGTCGGCTAGTCAAGCGCAGGTGTGACGAGACTGCCTCTTCCCCCCTCCCCCCATCAGGCAGCACTGGTTGGAGGCACCACCATGATCCTGGGCCACGTCCTGCCCGACAAGGAGACCTCCCTTGTGGAAGCCTATGAGAAGTGTCGGAGTCTGGCTGACCCTAAAGTCTGCTGTGACTACGCCCTCCATGTGGGGGTCACCTGGTGGGCACCCAAGGTAACATGCCGGGTGGGAGGCAAAGAGAAGGCACAGCAGGCTCTTTTAGGCTGAGAGCCATTTGAGCCGAACCAGGGGGCATGGGGCTCTCCTGCATGTCTAGGACACCCCTCCTACGTCCTAACTCTCCCAAGCACCCTCCCACCCCCCAAAGAGAAAAAGCACTTACAATCGCACGAGTGGGCAGGCCTGATCTGCTTAACATAATGGAGTTAAGAGCCGGTTTCTAGCAGCACACAGGCTCTAAGAAGTTTCCTATGACCAGGAGGGTCTTGCTCTGGCCACGACTCTGGCTCCCTCTGCATTAGGTGTTGCTGGCACAGTGCTGCTGAGCAGGGGGCTGAGTGGGCTTGGGAGCAAGGGTCGCTTCCTGGTTGTGCTAAGAGACAACAGCTTCCAGATGACATCTCTCAGATTGCCTGGGAGGCCTGGAACCTGAATAAGCTTCTTGCTGCTGGGCCCTGGCTCCCCCTCTGGCCTGTGGCTCAGCCTGGTTTCTTCCCTGTCTCAAGCCTGCCCTTTGTGCCCACTTTGTGCCTGTGCCCCGTGCCGGATGGGGGAAGGTGAGCAAGGGAGAGATTGCCAGTGTCCCTGGGGTGCCTCCACAGCTCCCCCAGCACCTGCCCATCTGCCTCTTGGAAATGTGGGATCATGGAATATTTCCTTTGCATGCTCCTTCCAGGTGAAAGCGGAAATGGAGACGCTGGTGAGGGAGAAGGGTGTCAACTCGTTCCAGATGTTCATGGCCTACAAGGACCTGTACATGCTCCGAGACAGCGAGCTCTACCAAGTCTTGCGTGCCTGCAGGGACATTGGGGCGATCGCCAGAGTCCATGCTGAAAACGGGGAGCTGGTGGCCGAGGCAAGTGTGTGGTGGGGAGGGGGCAGCTCTTGGGGGCAGGGCTCCTGACCACCCACCGTTCAGACCAAGCAAGTTGAAAAAGGTCAAGTGAGAGGCAAGCACAGCAGAGGGTCAGAACAGCCAAATGTTTCTACTCTCCATTGGGCGGAGGGGGTGGTGGTGGGGGTAATCTCTCTTTACAGCCCCCAAAGATTTCTAAGTTAGCTCCCCGGGGCTTATTTCTAATGCCACTTAGCCCATGTGGCTTCCACTCTAACAAGCGTTTGAAGCAGCTCTTTGGAATGGTTTTAATGAAAACTGCCATGGAGAATAAAGAACATTATAGGTCTCCACGTTGCCGTCCCTCATCTGAGAAGCTGAGATATGACAGGGACCTCTTCACCAGCACCCACACTGGACACCTACACCCTAACTAGGACACCTGGGTGAGAGTTAGTCTGGGGGCTGCTGAAGGATTGAATTGTCGAGATTTTCACGGCAGAAATTCTGACTTTCCTATCAAGAAAAGACGACCTTGATTTGGTATCCCGGGCCGATCGGCTAAGCCCTGAACTGTCTTTATTAGGGTGAAAGCCTTTGTTGAGTCGTTGTTTAAAGGGACCATCTGGGAGCTTCCACACCGGGGACCCATGGCTGTCACGTCCATTCCAGTAGGGAATGTGGGGCACAGAAGAATAATCCTGTAGCGTTTCCAACTTTGGGAGCGGATGGTCCCCCACTTTCTCCCCGGGGGAGTGGCTGGCGGACTCACACAGACCTTGGGACAGTAGCCAAGTGGCCTCTGCTGCCCCAGCAGGGTTCCGCACGATGGCCGTGATGGCTAGGACAGAGGCACACCCAACCGCAAGCCTACCGGAGGGAAGGGGCTGTGTCTTGCCAATTTGTGGTCTTGCCGATTTCGTCGGCGTCCCTTTAGCTCTGCGTTCCCTTTCGCTTCCGTGATTCGGCCTTTTCTTTTGCCTCCGGTGCAGGGTGCAAAGGAGGCGCTGGATTTGGGCATTACCGGCCCAGAAGGGATCGAGATCAGCCGTCCAGAGGAGGTGAGGAGGACTTCCTGTGCCCCTGGTCAACCTCTTTCGCGTAGATTGGGAGAGCCGGAAGAGACATCCATAAATATAAGTCATTTTGAGCTCTCCTGGAGTGAAAATCCCCTTGGGGACACTCTCCGGCCAGCAGCGCCCTCCCAGAGGAAGTAGGCTCAACCTTGAGCTTCACTGGGAGAGACCAAGGAGAGATCGGTCTGTCCATCGGATTCTGATTTCAAGGATCTGAGGAAGAGAATGACCGTTCTCCACAGAAGGCTTGGCCCCAAACGGAACTGGGAGAGGAGGCCCTTGGGTGTCCGAAGGTCCAAAGGCATTCCAGCCATAAGCTCAGTACCACGGGGGTGACACCCTTTGGAGCATCTGAGGAAAGCTTGGGACCCTTCCCACCAGAAACCGGGGGCACAAACATGCCCACACCCTTTGCCCTCTTTACCCACTGAAATGTCCTGCTGCCCTCTGCCCCCTCGGTTTAGCCTGGATACACTTTTCAAGGTGTCACCACGAATCCCCATAGCTCTCCTGCTAAAGGACTCTGTTCTTGAGGGTCCGCATCGGACTAATGCCTTCTTAGCCTGTGATCCTGCTCATAGGGTAAGATCAACTGTCAGGGGAAGGTCACTCTTTTATTTCTCCACCTCCTTAAATGTATTGTGGTGGTTGGATGCCCATGAAGGGTGGGCGGGGAGGTTTCGAGAGACAAGGAGAAGACCGGAAGGTGAGGGTAGTCATCATCGTAGAGGGAACCGGCTGGACCCCACAGTGGGTCACCTGGGGAGTCCTGCCGCTCTCCTGCCCCAGATCTGTCCCTGCCTGTTGAGCTCTTGAGCGCAGGTCCGTTTTGGCATGTCAGAATGGGTAGGAACAGCCCCAGATCCAACAAAGCACGTATGCTAAGGGCATGCCTACAAGAACAGGGATGGCGTCGGGATGGGGGGGAGAGCAAAACGTGGACAGTGCTCGTCCTATCAGTGATCAACACCATCCTGGTCTCCTGACATTGCCAGCCCAGCCCTGGAATATCTATCACCACTTGTCTTATCAGCCAGGTGGACCAGGCCCCCCGGAGGTGTTTGTCAATGTCGAGAGATCTTTGGGGTCATCACGTTGGGAGAGGGGCTGCTACCGGCACCAATGGATAAAGGCTTGAGAGGCTGTTAAACATCCTATGGTGCATAAGACAGCCCCCCCCCCCCCCCACACACACAAAATCACCTGACACCCAATGCCATTGGTGCCAAGGTGGGCCAACCCTGACCAAGGCAGAATCCCAACTTGGCATCGGCCGATAGAGCCCCGGGACACAGTGCTGAGGACGCTGTGCAGACAGGGCACCCAAAGCCGAGAGAGGTGTGGCTGTGGGGTGGGTTCATTTGCTCAGTATCGTGTACTGTGGTCTGGGGCGCCCTGATAGCACCCAGAAAGAATCCGTGTGGTGTCCCAAGTCCTAGGATTCTCTCCCGGCATCAGCCGACAGGTCTGATGTTTGGAGTCCTTTCCCAGGATGTGGCCCCGAACCACCCCCACCCCCCACCCGTGAATGCAGCCGTCCCCGCCAGCTCTGCGTCAGATTGTCCAGCAGCTTCTGTCCCGCAGGTTCTTGGGCACGTGTGGGCTTCCCTGGGGACGTGGGTGAAGCTCGCTTTCTGCCTCTCCTTTGTTTCTGACAGCTGGAAGCTGAAGCCACTCACCGGGTCATCACCATCGCAAATAGGGTAAGTAGGCCCCGCCCACCCCACATTCGGGTTCTACTCTAGGCTCAGAAATAAACGCGCCTCGAGAGTGGGGCCTCCTGCAGCAGCATGCCTGGCTCACTGGCCCCCAGAACTGTGTGCCGAGGGAGTGATGCCCAGAGACCTGGCATAACTCCTTCATCCCACCCCACGGAACCAGCTGAAGCCCCAAAGGCATGGCCTCCGATGAGGTGGGGGAAGATGTGGGGGTGGGGTAGGGAGTCAGGCCTCGGAGCCTCACTGCACCCAACCCGGGGCAGCAGGCATCGAGTGGACTCCAGAGCATGGCAGTGCCGTGTGTCTGAACGGAACGGTTCTGCGGGTTCTGGTGGCTGATTTCTTAGAAGTCCATCATCGGGCTTTTCTTCCGAGGTGCCTCGGAGCGCCAGCCTCTTGGCTAGCAGACCGGCGCCGTGTCCGTTGGCACCACCCTGGGACTTGGTCCGCGCTGCCGCTAGGATCCATTTATCTTAGAGGAAGTGCAGCTTCCTGCTGTTGTGCCCTCAAGTCCCTATAGCGGCACAGCGGGAGGAAGCACCGCCCAGCCCTGTGCCATCTCACCATGAGGGTGCTGTCTGAGCCCATTGGTGCAGCCACGTCAATCCTGCCCCTCAAGGGTCTCCCTCTTGCCCCTCTCCCTTACCAAGCATGATGTCCTTCTCCAGGGACTGGTCTCTCCTGAGAACATGCCCCAGGTATGGCCACCCTTGCTCCCAAGGAGCAGTCTGGCTGTACTTCTGAGACAGATTCCTTCTCCTGGCAGTCGGTCCCATGATCTCCTCCAGCACCATAAGTCAAAGGCATCCATTCTTCAGTCTTCCTCATTCCACTTCCAACTTTCCCACGCACAGAAGACGACTGATCACCCCACGAAGGTGGGGACAGGCCCACCTTAGTCCTGAGTGACACCCCCACTCTTTGCACTTGAAAGAGGGCTCGTGCAGTGGATTTACCCAATGCACGACATCCTTTGAGTTCTTGACAGCTGCTCCCAGGAGTATTGATTAGGGGTCCAAGCACAATGAAAGCCTCGACTCCTCTGATCCGAAATCACCATCATTCAGATTTACGAACCCCCACCCCCACCCCCCACTCCCGTGCATGGTTTCATAATGTTTTCTCCGGTCAGGGTCACGAGGGGTGAGGGCAGGGTGGTGATGGGAGTGAACAGGATACAAAGTCAGCGGTTCTAACTTAGGTTGTATCCAAATATAAGTTTCTCCATCGTATGGGACTCACCTCTGGGATACTATTTTATCAATTGTAAAATTAGAATGGGAATATTATTCACTTCTCCCCAGACAGTTGTGAGGATCAAAGAACTCGTGGGAGGGCCAGCACGTTATAAAGAGTAGAGCGTGTGCAAAGGTGATTCCGCCTTGCACACGGAGACTTACAGGTCTGAGTGGCTGAGACCATCCTAACCACTTCCCCCGGAACACGGTCCCTGGATGAACACGGTCCATCAGCATCACTTGTTAGAAATGGAAACCTGCCAGGGGTAAATTCTCAGGCTCTTGGAAGACCCACTGACGGGTCAGCAGTCTGTGCCTCAACCTGCCTTCTAGAAGTTTCAGGTGGACACAAACGTAGATAACCTCTCCTCTAGGAGGTGGGGAGTGGGGGGGGAGGTGTGTTAGGGATCGCAGGGAAACACAGGGAGGTCATGAGACCAGCTGACCTCGGAATCACACCAGTCTCTACACCCCCGTCCTCCTAAAGGAGGTGTCGGGATAACATTTGAGGAAATCAGGTTTACCATTAGCAGCTCAACAGGATAAGGACTTCAATTTCTTGCCATGACAACTGTTGTTTTATCAGTTACTCCCCCATGGGAACTTATCCCAGAACGAGCAAAGGTCTGACCAACGGAAGTTGGTAGTCAAAAAAACCCAAAAAACAGCAAACTCACTTGTCATCGCATCCATTGACTGATTCGTAGCCACTCTGTAAGACCAAAAGCGTTTAAAGCCCAAACTAAATCCACTGCCAAGTCAATTCCAACCCAACTCACAGCAGCCCCTATAGGGTAGGGTAGCACGGCCCCATAGAGTTTCCAAGGCTGTGACAATTGGCAAAAGCAGCGTGCCACAGCTTTCTCCCTCCAAACGGTTAGTGCATTCACGCAGCCGAGCGCTTAACCACGGCGCCCCCAGGGCCCCTCTCAGAAGCGTTGATTAAAGGCTCCTTCTGGTTGGATGGCAGAATGTCTGAGGTTCTCTCGCCAGTGGGCTTCCTGGCTGGGCCTGGCAGCTGCTGCCCCCCTTGCGTGCAGCTTCTGTGTCAGCCAGCCCCAAGCCCTGGAGCATAAGATAGCACCTAAGGTAGCCTCGCGCCATGTCGGGAAGATACTGATGCCAGACTGACATGACCAGGCTTATGCGGTTGCTGGTTAAGTTCACGGCGGTGACACTCTCTACTGGCCACTGTCTTTCCTGGGTTTAGACTCACTGTCCAGTCTACCTGGTCAACGTGTCCAGCATCTCGGCCGGTGACGTCATCGCAGCTGCTAAGATGCAAGGTGGGTCCCTGAGCGTGGCGGGACAGCCATGGAGCCCCAGTGTGGCCCCGGGCCCGATCCCCGGGTCTCCCTTCCCCTTCTCCCCACCGCCTTTCTCAGGAGCTCCCCGTGTTGCCGGCCGAGGGCCCAGTGTGCTTCTCGGCACATTTGTATGCATCACGGCTTCACAGGGTGTCTGTCACCTCTCCTGGGCCTGGTAAAAATGTTCCAGCTTGTAAATCAGTTCATTAATTGGCATCTTTGGGTCCTCTTGGGTCTGACTGGTGGTTGCCTTGGTAACAAACATAGAGTCCTGGACCGATTCCAATGGACATTCGCAGGATGCCAGGGCAGTCGCTGAAGAAATAGCAATGCATGGACTCTGCTTCCCCCTGTCGCCCTGGGGACCCTGGGTGCAGGCCCTCGCAGGCCGCCAGTGGCTTTGCCATTCCTTGAAGTCCTGGTCACAAGAAAAACAGGCAAGGTCACAAACCCAGGGACAGGAATAGGAGGACAAAGCATCCCAGCCTTCCGCTCTGTGGCTCTCAGAGCACACCGGACCTTGGCCCGAGGTGAAGCCCTTGGCTGCTGCCCCAAACTCGGCTGGCCTCCCACCTCCTGCACCCCTCCCCACAGGGCCCACCGCCAGCCATCTCCAGGAACCGTCTGCCTGTCGGGAAGCATGCTATCAAACAGCAGGCCACACTGCTCCTTGACGTGGCCTGTCCCAGCCCACCATCAAGGCTTGTCTCCCCTCCCCACGGCGCCCTTCACACACCCATGCTCCCCACAGCACCACGGGAAGCTTTCCCCAAAGCAGGGCAGCTCCCCAACCTGGGACTCTAGTGTGCTCCCAAAGGCCTGATGGTCCCGGGCCGTCCGTTCCCCACTCCCTCCCCTGTAAGATGACAGGTTCCGGCCAGCTGATGGCCCCAGCTGAGTGGCTTCTGAACGTTTGGTCTTGACCTCTCTCCCAGGGAAGGTTGTGCTGGCCGAGACGACCACTGCCCACGCCACGCTGACCGGCTTGCACTACTACCACCACGACTGGTCCCACGCCGCCGCCTACGTCACGGTGCCTCCCCTGAGACTGGACACCAACACCTCAACCTACCTCATGAGCCTGCTGGCCAAGTAAGCCCGTCCCCACCCCACCACCCACCCACCCACCAGCACCGTCATTACCTCACCGTGCATACCCGGCCAGATCTCCACAAAGATGCCACAGGCCCTTTGCTGGTGTTCTGTGGTTTCCAGAGCCCAGCCTATTGTTTCCTTCCTTTGAATCCTCAAGGACCACTTGCTTTGGGGTGAGGGGGGAAGGGCACAGAGCACTGGCAACAGTGGTTATTCTGAATCACGGGGACGGGGAGTGGGGGGCAGTGCAGCTCCCCCAAGGAGCAGCAGGAGTGACTTCGGACTGGTCCTGGGATACCCAGAGCTCTCTGTCTCTCACTGGTTCCCCTCCCCCTCTCTCAGGGCTCACAGGGTTCTCCCCTTGTGGCCCCCTCTCACCTGGGTCCTTCCTCTCCGGCCCCCTTTCTTTTTCTTTTCTTTTTTTTTTAACATTTTATTAGGGGCTCAAACAACTGTTATCGCCATCCATACACACATCAATTGTGTAAAGCGCATTTGTACATCATTCTCAAAACATTTTCTCTCCACTTAAACCCCCGACATTAGGTCCTCACCGGCCCCCTTTCTTTCTACATGGTCTCCTTTCCCCTCAGTCACTGCCCCCCACCTCGTTTTTTTGATACCCCTGTACCACATTTGAGCTCAATCTGAAAAGTTGTATCTATGAGGGGGTACTCCCCATTCCCTCCAAAAAAAGAGCTCTACCGGGCAGAGCTTTTGTAGTACGCATTTTTTCCTGCTAGGCGAGCATCAAGCAACTCACTCTGAATTAGTGCACCCAGTGGTGTCACCTGGGAAGGTCCTCTCTGGTCACAGTGAATTTTTTCATAAAAGCAGTTTTGCTCAACCCTTGTTTTTTGCAATGGCTGATTTAAGAGAACAACATGTGGCTGTCAAATTCTGTTTCCTGCTGGGGGGAAAGGCCGCAGAAACTGTTGTGATGTGATGCTAACAAGGACAGCACTATGGGGAAAAACTCAAGTGTACAAGTGGTTTTCTCATTTCAAAAAGGTGACATGTCAATCGATGACAAACCTCATTCTGGATGTCCGTCAACTTCCCGGATGAAAATGTCAACTCGTGGTGCACTTGGAGTTCATTCCACGAGGTCAGACGGTTAATCGAGCTTTCTGTTTAGAGGTTCTGAGAAGATTGCATAACAGTGTGCGACAAAAAAGGGCCTGATTTGTGGCCGACGTTGGAATGGTTTTACCACCACCACAATGCACCTGCTCACACAGCCATCTCAGTGTGCCAGTATTTGGCAAAAAACAGCACCTGACTCAGCTGACCTAGCTCCATGCGACTTCTGTGGTTTCTGTGAATGCAGAGGGACATGATAGGACAGTGATTTGATGATGTAGAAGAGGTGAAGGAAAAGCAAGGGAGGTGCTGCCAGCCATCCAAACAGATGAGTTTGAAAAACATTTCCAAGAATGGAATCGCAGATTTGACAAATGTACTGTCAGGTGATAAGCTTGTTTTGTAAAAAAATAAATAAATAAATACATAGCTTTGGGTTGGGAGGGGGAGTTCCGGTTTTTTGAATAGTCTCACGAACAACGTGGATTCAGTGGGGCGCACCCACGGGAACGTTTTGTTTGGTCCCAACACTCCCTTAAAACATCCTCTCGTAGGGCTTTGGGGTGGACTGGGGAGGGAAGCGCCACGCCCCACCATGAGGAGAGGAAAAGACGACAGGGCTCTTCATTCTGCCAGCCCCTTGCTCTCCCTCCCTGGGCTTCTGCATGTAGAGACCTGGGTGGGGCTGGAGCACACCTGCCTCTTCAAGGCTCATGGTGGGGGGTAGTTGAAGGAGGTGACCAGTCCTAATTGAAGGTGGCTCTCTCTAGATTCTGGGGCACTTATTCCATCCACAGCCTTAGCTTTCAGCCCTGATTGTCAAAAAAAACCCCAAACCACTCAACTACCATCACATCCAACTCATAACGAAGCCGTCAGGACTGGATAGAACTGCCCATATGGGTTTCTTAGACGTTTTATAAAAGTAGACAGCCCCTTCTTTCTCTTGTGGAGCAGCCGGTGGTTCCAAACTGCTAACCTTGTGGTTAGCAGCCCCACTCTTTGCCCACTGCACCACCAGGGCTCTGCGATGGTCAATAAGGTAGCAGAAACGCCC